GTTCTTATGGGCATTGTTGATCTCTGGCCTGTGTTTTTCTTCAGGCACGGACTCAGCGCCTCATCTCCCCGGGCTGAGGTCCTTCGAGCAGCCTCGGCTGTAAGAGATGGGATTGCGACATTCACTTTACCGCCAGGCCCGGTTGAGCAGTTTGACTTCTGCCAGGCGTTTGCTGATCATGGTGGCAAAGAAAAGAGCTAAGAGAACGCTGCTGATCAGCATGTAGTCGTAATCGTCTTTTAGTACGTCAAACTGCTTTGATGGATACACACGAGTCTGGTAAATGTCCAGTCCATATGCAACCACCTACAAGAAAAAAAGAAAAAAGAACATGGCATATTTAGGTTTAAATTACCCAAAGGGAAGATAACTAATTTTGTCTCAGTGTGGTGTTAAAATTATATTCTGCCCATGGCTTTCAAAACCAGTAATAAAGCACTTATCATGAAGCACTGTCAACAGAGACTAAGATAAGCACATTTAAATTCAGGCACATAGTGGCACTTTTGGAAAAACAATATTTTCCATTACAATCATTCAATATTTTTTAATAGGCTAAACAGTTCCAAAAATCAAGAAATGCCTTCCAACCGTGGTTATCATCATATAATCTGCAGGGTTTCCCACACATAGACTATACTTGGGCGGGCCGCCCAGGTATATTAACGGCCGCCCAAGTATATTTCGCGACCCATTTAGTTTTTTTAAAATAATTTTTTTAATTTTTTATTCGTCCGTGACCACGACGCCATCTGCGACCGATTAACTTGTGGACAATGATCCCTCGCTCTGATCTCGCCTCCTTCTGGCCTGTTAAGTGGCCTGCCTCACACAGGGTGACTGGCTGTCTACATGATGTGGCCTGCCGACATGGCCACTGTCATGCAGATCATAAATCAAAGCCCTTAATTGGTCTCTGTGTGTTATTCAAGCTTGGGATAACCTCAGCTCAGGTGAGGTAAAGGACTCTGAGTGTTTAGATAGTTAATTTAGTCTAAGTTCTCAATGGGTCTCAAACGGTGTGGTCACCATTTATGTAAATATAGGGCTATCATTATGGGGCCTGCCTGTACCTGTTCGCTCTGCCGTCGCGTGAAGGGTCTGCTAACAAGCGACCAACAGAAAGGTTAATGTTGTTGCACGTCACATCAACCGTCCCCCCCCCCTCCGCTACCCCAAGTATATTTCAGATCTGTGGGAAACACTGATCTGTTTGTTAGCATCGTAATGGCAGACTCACCAGGCAGGTGGACTCCAGTCCAGAGGGGGCGGTGTAAATTCCTCGCACTCTTGTCACCGTCTGGTTGTAGTTGATGAACCACTCTGAGCGGATCAGCAGCTCTGGTGCGTACGGAATCAGGTTCTCTTCTCTGGAAAAGATCAACTCAACAAGTTAGACCGAAATAAATAAATACAAGTAATTGAAATGTTTGAAACCATGCCTGACTGAGGGACGTACCGGCTTTGCTCCGTTACTATTTCTGGCCTCCGAGGGTCCAGGAACATCTTGGGTAATGACAAAATCCCTCCTGATGGCAAACCAACTATAACAAAGAAACATATTTAAAGAGGCTGAAAATAGTTCGAAAGGTTTGTTACTCTGAAACAGTGACACTCTACAGCCCATAAGCCTCGCTGTGACTTACTGAGCAGGTGGCGGCTGGTGATGCCCTTCTCAGTCAGTGTGGCCTCCATGGTAGAAATGGAGGAGGGGAAGATGTAGGACTGCTGAAGCACCTGAGGAGCGTGGGGTCGATCCAGTGAGCTGAACACGGTGCTGTTGTACAGCTCCATGCCTTCATACAGCTCGATCACAGAGAACTCGTTCCTGCGGGACTTGGTGCTCCAGTATTCGTACTGCAGAGTCAAACAGACACAATCAGAAGACATGACCCACAAAACAGCAGCCTTTTTCACCTTCAACATGTTTTTATTAATGTGCTCAGTGTATGACTACAGTGTGGCTGCTAATACAGCTGCAGTGAGCTAATATCTTACAAGAAAAGCAAAAAAAAAATAATAATCACAAAACTTAAGATATACATTCTTTGTATCATTTTGATAACATTTTAGTTCATTTTTACATTAATTGTTTTTATTTGTTAGTTTTTTTATATTCAAAGTTCAAGGAAATACAGTTAATTATATATTTATTTAAGTTAAATAAATGTATGAAGTTTTAAAGTCAACTAGTTATCGTGTTGAATAATTGTCAATATAGAGTAAAATAATTGGGATTATACTAAAATGCAGCAGCCCTACTCACCACCACCCAGTTTTCAGAGTGCACAATATGCACGGGTCCTTTGGCCTTCCTCTGAACCGCCTCGTGGATGATGCGTCCGGTTACTCCATCGATCAGGAGGATCCCCATGAAGCTTCGCTCCGGATGCGTGTCGGTGCTCTCAGTTACCACCGCCAGGAGATTGGGGTTGAGGTACTGTAAGAAATGACATGAAACACAGTTCATCTTAATCCGGCAGTGGCTCAGTCAGTAGGGGCTTGGACCTTGAGCCGTAGGGTCGCCGGTTCAAGTCGCCGACCAGACCTAAATATGGAGTGTGGACTTCTACTTGGAGAGGTCCCAGTTCACCTCCTGCCCTGCCGTGGTGCCCTTGAGCAAGGCACCGGACATCCCCCTTCCCCCCCACTCACATTGCTCCCCGGACGCTGTGCAATAGCTGCCCACTGCTCCTAGTACTAGACTCCTGGTACTAGGATGGGTTAAAAGCAGAGAACACATTTCCCTGTGTGCTGTGTGCTCTGCATGTGTGACCATTACAGAGTTTTTCATCCTCTGAT